ATTCTTTTGTGCATTATTTTTGTTTTTGAGTTTTAAGCTGTGCATTCCATATGCACTTCTTTATATTATATATAATTTATTTATTTTTTCTTGTAGCGGTCTCTGTGATCAGAAGGAGAGGAAATTAGGCAGCAGAGAGAAGATGCGGATCAGGACTAACCAGAAGTCACTTGTTTCAACCTGATTTTGAAATGTAGCTAGAAGACGGAGGGTGGAGAAGAAACTGATAAAAACATTGTCATTTTAGAGATATAATGCATGTGTGAGAATCATAAATGTAAATACAACTCACAAATTGGATATTTTCAATGATAATCTATAGAAAATCAAGGGGTGGAGAGGATATTAGCATCTTAAAACTATACTTTCATGTTAAATGAGGTTGTATGTAGATAAGCTGTTTAACAAATAAAAATATAAATACATCATGTGTATTTAACTACATGTGTTTAATGTTGAAGTCATTTTAAATACTTTTTATTCTGTTCAATGTCCAGAATCATGTTCTATAAATTGTTTGTAGAAAGAAAAAAATGGGGACAGCTACAATTTCCTATGAGTACAAAGCAAGCAGACCACAAGAAGGCAGTAATGTAAAGCAGCAGTCCCCAACCCCCGGGCCTTGTCCTGATTGAAAGGTCCTGATGAAAAGCCACTGATGTACAAATATTTACAAAAAGTTGTATTTTTCATAATAATTAATTGAATGCAAAAAGTCTCCAGATAACATTTAATCTTCTTTTCATTTGACTGGTTATGTAGTTTATTCTTATGATATTTATGATGTTTGTTTTTAAAGGAATGAAAAAGACAAACCCATGAATTCTTTTGTTCTGTAATGAGATACTGTACTCTGCTGACCCCTGCTGGTGAGCAAACAGGTCTGCAACAATTCCTTCCCCTACCCAGAGGGACTTTTTTTGGGTGACACAAAACTAAGTGATAACATAGGTGAATAGATGTTGTCACCCCATTCTTTGTAGTTGTTAAGAAGCAACAACAAAAAACGTGTTTTCTTTTACAGAAAAAGAAAAAACTTTGCAACATTTTGGAGTGAAAAAAGGTTTTTAAAAAAGCTACAGTGACATTTATAATTTATTTGTCTCTGCCTGCATTCCTAAGACTGTGGATGTTATTTATCACTCTACTTTTCACATTTATTGCAGTCAACATTTATACTATGAATCACTTAATCTCACATGAATACTGAGGTAGTCTTTTCTGTTTAAAAGATGTGAAAATGGGCTATATGTCAGTGTTTAATTATAAGGCTGTCATTGGGTGGATAGAATTCATTTTATTGTACACTGGCGCTCTGGGCCATATTAAGCTTGGCCACACGGCTGACTATTGCTGCAAGATTTTCATGTCTGTACTAAGCTTGGGATAACCGATTTTAGTTTCTGTGTTTTCTGCTTCTGTTTATATTTTGTCTTTACATTTGTATTTTGTTGTGTTTAATTTCTGTTATCCTGTATCTTTTATTATTAAAACTTGATGGTGTTTAATGTGTCTATTCTTTTAAATTTCATTTAAAATATCATCTTTGTAACTGTCACGGTCTGGCTAGGGCAGACCGTATATTGCAGGGAAGGACTCAAGCGCAGACCGAAATGGGATGTGAATAACAAAACAAGCCGTTTAATAAGGCAAGAAACAAGGGTACAAAATAATGGGGCATGGGTGAAAACTAAACAATAACCTAAACTGGGTGAACTAATAA